GAGGAGACGGGAAAATCAGAATCTTTCCATTTCACGGCCTTCTCTTCAAGGACAACTTCTCCAGTTCTACCTTTCATCTTTGATGCAGAACCAAGATATGGGATGTTCTGCCTCTGAAATTCGATCGATCATCTTTTTATTCGGAATGATTTTATTCAGTTCCATTTTGAGGTTATTTTTGGACGAAATACGCACGAACTGGTACAGAAAGCGATTGCTAACAATAATCGGTCCAAGAATGTGAAAAAACGATAAGCGGTCTAAAATACGGAGCACAGAATTTGTGGAAAGTAGCGTGGTTTAGCTCTGACTGACGTTTTCCCCTATTTGTTCTGTTCGCAAATTTGAACGCAAAACTGGGAGTCACAGTTTACAAACATGAAACAAAACATAAGTGGAGAAATCAACCCCACAATGGTAGTTGATCACGACATACCTAAAGGATCCTTTATCTACGGGGAAAAATATAGACTAATCAGACAGTGTGAACGAGTTTAAACACCCGTCTTCAGGTCAGTCAAAGCACTGGATATTCCGCTACCAGTTTTGGGCATCATTAGGTAGGCCTAGTTCTGAATCGCCATCAACCTTACCTTTGAAGCGAACGCCAGGTTGCGACGACACTCATTTACAAATTAGGTTGATGAGAGAGTGGGCTAGAATTCACCTGTACAGTGAACTGAATTCATCGACATCGATGGATTTTCAGCAGCCTTATGAGTAGTACATTACAAAGATATACATGTATCGCGATATTTCAAATATCGTAGCGACTGAAACATGAGGCGTCCTGGTGCAGCACATTCCGTTGCCTGAGAACATCATAAACGAGAGATTCTGCTGGGTTCCAGGTGAGTCTCTCGAAAGAACCAAATTGGTTTGCGAATGAGTGTATATTCGCTAATTTCGTGCAATTTGGTTTCAAGTAGAACATAAGGTTGACGGAAACCTGGGGACTGCGCCTACCTGATGAGCCCCAAAGAGGGCGAAACCGGTCGTGGGCTGTCGATGGATTTTCAGCAACCTTATGAGTGGTACATTACAAAGTTCCGTTCTAATTGCCGTCTTGTTCTATTCATACGATCGGTCTACTGACCAGCATAGGTCGTTCGAAATAAATCAGGCGATAGACTTCACACCATCCAACCATCCTTTTTTCGTTGGATGCTTCTGCCCAACCAATCCCGCGGGAATTCCGATACATGTGTCTTGTTCTATTCATACGATCGGTCTACTGACCAGCATAGGTCGTTCCACCGAAATCAGGCGATAGACTTCACACCATCCAACCATCCTTTTTTCGTTGGATGCTTCTGCCCAACCAATCCCGCGGGAATTCGACACGATACATGTCATTCTTCTTCCTTTTCATTTTTCCTCTATATGATATCTCAGTAGGATTGTTCGAATAAACAAGCAGGGTAGATCCTATTGAGCGAGTAGCGAGATTAGGGGCGGAACCATATTTGGAGCAGGTCAACACTAGTGAAAATCGTTCAGTTATGTAGCACCCTTTCGGTTCCTTACTGCTATGCGACCCTAACGAAGCACAAGGACTGGGATACTGCCAGGTTGTCCAAGCTTAAACAGGGAAAGTCGAGAGGCAAAGGTCGGGTTCGAACCACAGACCTTCTGGTCAGTGAATTCGCGCTCTAACCGCTGTGCCATCTCGCCCCTAACACTAGTGAGTATTTTGTGCAATGCTTAAATCGCCTTTACAGTAGTACATGAAATTTTTCTTGTCGCATTTTCTGGACTGAACCATCATTGAAGAAATGTCAAGTCTTTGGTGCGTGGTAGTACACTTTTGTAATCCGTCTTGCAGTGCCCTTTTTTCCATGGCGTCAGCACGTGACACCGTACACACACTATCAGGTCTGGACGGCTAACATAAGGGCTGAATAGCTTTCATCAGCTGTTTGGTGTGATGGTACAGTATCTCATCGATTGCCGAAAATTGTCCCTACAGGTTTTGGTGGATACGTGTGTGGTATTCCTAGAACATGTGATAAACTAACCCACTCAATTCCAAGCCAAGAATGTTTCGTCGTTGAGCTCTGTTGCAGAATGCAGCACCACAGGAACAAAGTCTGAGAGAACTCTCGTCGAATTTGCTGCGCAAGCGAGTCGCTAAAAACGGTAGTATGTAACGCAGAGATTTAATAAGGGCGCTTTCTTATCAGTAGAAAAATAAGTTTGTCTGACCAAGCGGTCAAATTGGATGATGGTACAAAGCAAAAGAGATTTAAAATGTGGAAATTGTGAAAACAATAGGTTGTTCGGAACACCTGGGCTTCTCGGTCTATGTTGGTGATTGAACAGATCCTACTCGGAATTTCGCAATAGACGTTGAATCATTTCTGACCTACCGTGTGACGAAATCGCCACGAAACAATTTTGTCACTTTACTCATCCTATCTTTGAGAGAATTAGGTAAAATACATCGACGGAGCAACCTGTTGTACCTCCACTACAAGGCGCAGCGTTCTTCCGTAACGACTTCTGATATAGTCACGCCCCGAAAGCTTAATTGTGATGCTACTCCCTAACCTTTTAGCCTGACAGATTTTGTATGTTTACGTAGGTGTCACTTTTCTTTCCACACCATTGTAAGTTACTCTCCGACGGTTGTTCTCCCACGTTTCCGTAAGTGTCAGCGTCCCTGACGTTTTCCATGTTGGTTAGCCCCACATAGCCCGGACGGTTGTAATGTCATAATGAACCCAGCATCTTCTTTTCCAGTCCAGCTTGGCACAGCTGATGCAACAACAACTGCACTGCCTCCAACTGCAGCAACAACAATTTCAGCGCATTCTGCAGACGCAACGGGGGACGAGCAAACCGCCAAACCTACAACCACCCGTACATGTCCAACTTATCCCATCATACCACCCCTCCAGCCAATTCATACAACCTCCTACAAGTGCTGCTCATCCCGTGGGATTCCCATCATACGTCGCCAACAGTGCAATCGATCTGCCATCTGCCGGCTCCTCGTGGCCCATCCCTAGTCTGCCAAACTTAGCCTTTCCTGGTTTTACTGGTACGTAAGGAAGTTGAGGCAAAATAGGAAGTTTTTCGCCTTTATTTCCGCCTACTTCCTAGTGTCTAGTCTCCTCATGATTTTCGAACTCGCGTCTGTGATCACGCGACTGGGAGTGTACACCGTACACAAGTGAAACCAATACATGGACACGCTGCAAATTAGTCACACATGGTTGTCCAACGATGTTTTGAGGGGAATTTTTGACTGCCATTATGATAAGTGCGGCGATTGTGTTACAGAGGGAGAATTGTGCGATAGTGGCGTGGAGGTCATTAGTATTATCGCATCACAAAAGAATTTTTGTCTAATTTTACTGGCTCGAGCCTCAAATCTGACTTACAAAGTTAATTTATTGGATGCGACTATTTTCTGTCTCCGTTCGTGTCACGGTTGACCTGTACCTTGGTCATTTGCCATGTCTATCTCGCATTTAGACAGATAGCTTATTCAAATAAATGTTTAACCGTTTCATTTTACAGGCACCCAAATTTCAGCTGCTCAACCTTTTTTACCAGTGGCATCCACTAGTACTCGGATTCAACAATCCCAACAACCGATTGTTGATCCGTACGGTAATTTGTTATCACCGCTCTCATCCGTCCATGGGTTGAACACAGCTCAACTCGATACCTCCGGTCTCCTGAATCAGGTGAGCTATTTTGTATGTTTTGTATATCTAAAAAGATGTGTTCTTTTCATAAAGAAAACTACTCACAAGTTTGCTGAAAACTTTTCGACAGCCCACGACCGGTTTTGCCCTTCTTGGGGCTCATCAGGTAGGCGCAGTCCCGAGTTTTCGTCAACCTTATGTTCTAATTGAACCCTAATTGGACTGCTTTTCAAGAAATACACTAATTTGCAAATCAATTTGGTTTTCATGAGGACTCAACTGAATCTCTCGTTCATGATATTCTACAACTGAATGTGCTGCACCTTGTGAGTAGTTTCCTTTATGAAAATATACTGCGATATCTGGAATGTCGTGCCAACTGAATTATGAGGCGGCCTGTGTGCAGCACATTCAGTTGTAGAATATCATAAACGACAGATTCATTTGAGTCTGTCGTGAAAACCAAATTGATCTGCAAATTAGTGTATTTCTCGAAAGATATGTTCTTATTCTGTGACTGGGATTTCGAATCAGGTAGCCGCGAATCATCCGTGCACCTTCTGGGGCAATTGCGAAAAACCGTCACAACACTGTCATCCAAGCAGCTGCACACATTTCCATTCGCGTTTGTACGCAGTCATCCGTGTTTTTCTTCTCGCCTTACAGGTGTGGATTCCCTCCAACCTCAGCTCTGGCCGTAACCACCTCTAATCTGCGCACCTGCCCGAACCATTGTTCCGCATTTTTACGTTTGTGTAACCCCTACTACAGACTAACCAACAACTAAGCATGCCTCACACACACACACCCGCACCCCAGATACCAAAGTAACAATAGATGCACAATTTGGTTTTACTTTGTCTTTATTCCTCAAATATCACTTCACACCTCCCTAACCTGTTGTTGTTTTCTCTTGTTTACCTACTCCATTGTTTTGTGTGAAGCATGTATACATCACATTGTTCATTGTAGTTTCTCGACGCCTATAGAGTTAGATCTCTCCTTTTTAATACCCTGGTTGATCACACTGTGCCTCTCTTCTACAGCGCGCTGGCTGTCTACGCACAAACGTCCATCAGACCACCGTCCATTGTATCCGAGTTCAGTAAAACTATTATTTGTTTGTTCCCGTGTAGGTTGCATACATCGTTCGCAAAAAGAGAAATGTGCATGTGAATCTCCTTTTGTGCTGTTCAAAGGTGTTTTTTTAAACAGTTTGATAATTAATTGATGGATCTCGAGACAGCTCAGTGATTAAATTGCAAACTTACTGGTCTGTGGTTCAAACCCAACGCCAGTATATTGAGTGCGCTCGTCTAAGCTTGGACCACCTGACAGTATCTCAGCTTTCGTGCGTCTCTTCTAGGTGACATGAAAACTACGCACTGGTGTTGTAACTAAGCGATTATAGTTGCTGTTGTTGTTGTTCTTGTTGTTAAATAATTCTTGTGTTTATTGCCAGGCAAGTGGTTAAGCCACCAGGTCTATGCTATTATCTGTCTTTGGATATAAAGTATCCAATAGCCGATTCACGGCTTGTTTAATGNNCAAGGTCCCTTTATATCGGTACGGTGATTTGTTTGTGACTGAACTGTCGACCGTATTTACCTCCGACCCGTACCAGTTGCAACTTCTCACCACTTCCTTTTTGTCCATGTTTGAGACAGAAAGTACATTCTTATGAACTACCATCCTCCCCTATCTAACTGAAACAATCTAAGATGTATGTGAACAGTGTGTCGCGTACGACAAGGCTGCGTCACTTGTTCTTAAGCTTTCGCATTCTGATTGACTGCCTATTAACTACAAACACGCACCTTAGTACTTCCCTCAAGTCAGACTGCCAATTCACTCCGGTGGGATACGCCTTGAATCTGTTGTTTCACCGTGGACTACCTCCCCACAAAGACAACACATTCAAAGTCTCTTTGGTCCAATGTGCCGTGAAATCAATAACTAGGGTGTGAAACTCGTGCACTGCACTTTTACTTTTTTATTCCAGTTGGGTGCCTAAACGCCAGTACAAATGAAACACTGTTCCCTCTACGTGTTTGGAAGTCCAGTAACATGGTTTTCACACGTATCACTCACAACTACAAGTCCTTCCCCAATATAGTGGGTATGCTGTAGAAACTCCACTTGGGCAGAACCTCCCAAAGTTACGTCGTTCAAAGGTTCGTCTCTGTGAATTGGCAAAATTGTAGGTTTACGGTATCGAGAAGGACCACGTCAAACAACTGGCTGAGGCGGCTTCAGTGATGTATCTTCTCATGAAAGGGGTTTTTCTATGGAAATGTACTTTCTAGGTCAAAGTGGTTTCTCTACGATCGGTTTTTCTGGGGACTTGTGGCCAGAATTACAACCGTAACTCCATCCTCTGGGGATCTCTGTAAACTGGGGCGGTGAACCAGAATACCGTGTGCGGCAATGTCAAGCTTGTGACCACTTATCATAATTGTGTAGAATTGAAGCAACCTTGGGAAGCATCGATGCTGGTGTTGTCTCCTAATGCTTAAAACGCTCACAATGAGATCGCTCATAGCTTTGGATATAGACAGGTTGATCATGCAACTTTGGTGGACATCTACGAGGTAGCTTCTACCGCGGTGTGCGTGGGCAACAGAATTCCTCCTTATTAGGGAGGGTCTGTCATATTTCAGTTGTCACAAAAGAGGGTTACAGTACTAATCCACCAGCATAAGAATTATTGTCGTAGTCTGGTGCATGTACATTATTGTCCGCCACCAAGAGGAATCTGCAACTTGGACCAGTCGGGCTGTTCTTTGTCTGTGCGGACCACTGTGTTCCTGTTAATTCGTCAAGTAACTCGTTTCCCGTGATGGAACTTTGGACGTCCTACTCTTCTCCCCTAATGACTGAGAAAACGCTCGCATTTGAATCACCGCTTTTCCAGCAGGTGATTGTTGTACTCTGATTTCTCCATATCTGACTAATGCAGCTCGTAGATCATGCAATCACCAGGCCGTTCTCTTCTGGACGAACCGGTTGGAATTGTGGAGGAGCATGCTACGCTGGTTTGTCAAATACTCGTGAATACACACACTACTAGCATAGATGCAAGTAGCGAAAATACCATGGCTCTCAGTAATGCGCTACTAAAGCTGTGCTACATGTAGGTGTCGTGTGCGCCATCCTGACCAGACAAGATATCTCTTGAATTGGATTCGTTATATTTTTTACATCATCGCCTGTTTGTGTATATAATCAGGACGTGTAGAACAAGTGGAACAGCGCGATTACCGCTTTGATTCACTGTTTCTTTGTTTTCTAACGAGCTCACTACTTCCTGTAAGACAGCATGTGTGCGTGTGGTGGAATCGAGACTTGTGTCACACGGGGATTCTTAGTCTAGTGTTTGTGTTACGCCTACTTCCGTCGAATTCGATGCGCACTGTTATCACCGTTTCTCCACAAAGACCATTCCACATCGGTAAACCGATTAGGTGGATTGCGCACCAATACTCATTTTAATAATGTTTTTTAGTAATTGCGCCATTGAGTGTCGGGTATCAGGTTTATCAAGATTAACTTCTGGGCAACTGATCATTTTTGAGTGCCTCTTAGACTGTAAAGGCCTGTAGACGTTAGTTATGGTGACTTGGGTTGATGGTAGCCAAGCTTCGGGAGCAATTTCTCTCTATGGATCACGAACGTTTTGTTACTGTTCTTGCTTATTCCATTTCGATTCTAGTGTCTACTTGAGTGCATTCGCAGCGTGTTCTTCGATGCCACATAGGGGTTCACATGCCGTGTTTTTGTCCTCGTATTTCCGAGGCTATGAGTTCTTGAGCTTAGACGGACTCTCCGCTGTCATATGACGTCTTTGGTTTCGGAACCAATCGAAAACTACTGTATGATAGGTAGCAACTCATAATCTAAGTGCTATAATACCGGTTGGATTTACTCTGTGGTAGCGCCACGAATAGTTCTAGATGAAAATATGTCTCTGAATCTTCCGTATGTTCGTTTGCCCGGTTGTTACTCATCGCTACTTACCATTGAACTACTTACCACTGATTTGTAAAAATTGTTTTGACAATCTTCCGGTACATAGTAAGTGGTGTGAAGGCCGTAGAAAAATCAAGGGCTGTTATACTCTGACCGGGCACAGGAATTTGACGACCAAATTTACTCTCTGAAATCTGAACACGACACGAAACCTGTTCACTGCACTTCTTTGCGAGGTTACCCTCGAAACTTTGGAACATCTTCTAGGTCCAAACCTATGACATTTTCCCTCACTTCAGCACGCTAATTTGCTCCTCTACGAGGTGTGTTTTGTACTCCAACAACCTGTGGTCGTTGCCTTCAGTATTTCACACTAACAAGTCTGACCATGGACCAATACGTCCATCGTGGGCGGAGATTTCGTGCAAAAGTATTAATGTTTGCCGCGTGGTTCGGAAAATGATCTAGTTTAGTACCGATTTGGACAATGTCATTGTTGCAGTCAAACTATTTCTCCTGGGCCACTTCTGTATCTGTCTACAATGCCATTAATCTCATCAAGTCATGCTGAAAACCTGATGGATATATCGACATGAGTGAATTCGCCATTACAGGGTGATGAAGTGGTAAGAAATTTTTGAATCACCCCCCTCCCCGCCTAATCTCCAAATCGGCTTCTGATGTCCTAAAAATAAAACCTTTTAAGGCCTCTGAATAGTCAAAATAGGAGTTGTGTAAAAAAAAGTGTTTAGCGTATTAGTGGTCAGCAGACGTCTTTTTAACTCTCACCAAAACGCTACAAAACTCGGCCTACAAACTAACAAAGAAAACAATGGCGTTGTATTTATCATCATTGTAGATGGTTTAGTTATTTGACAAACGAACCTGGAATGGGACGAGCCCTTCTTTCATTGGCGACCTTGAAACGGTTCCAGTAGCTCCTTCATCGCGGCCGCTTTCATTTGCTTTACAGCCCTTTCAGCATATAACCCACCTTCTTGACGTTATTTGACTCAAAATGAAAATTCCGATATGATATCTAAACTAACTCAAATGACCACCTGAAGTAGCGTTGTGATTAAAGTGTGCCGAAACATTCGAATTAATTCTTCAAAGTGACCGAATTGTTCTCATACCTGTAGTTTTTGCGAGCTACGGAGTTTTCCAAATAGCCTACTATCGGAGTGTGGCTGGATTAGAGAACTGATCAAGAAACCAGAAAAAATGCCACAAACATGGGAGAGATGAATTTTGGGTGCCTCAAATAAAGGATGGAACAGAAGTCCGGTTGAAGTTATCCTGAAAAAAGGGTACTGTAAGGATCTTATCATCGGGAGAATTTTTCGCAATAAGTCGCGACTAGTGGAGAACCCCGCTATGACCTCTCTCCAGAGGAGACTCATGAGCTAGTCAGTGTGCTATGCATATTTTAAGGACTTCGTCGAACACCTGCATTACATGCTTCCATTGTTAGGGCTAACCATCAGTCTATTGTACCAGTTATGATGCACCAAGTGTTTGTCGCGCAAAATTGTTGCAACTGGCCCTTCAAAACGAAAGCCATATTTCTGACTGTACGATTAATGGAGGGCAAATTCGGAAGAGTACGCTTCTTGTCTAATTTCCAAACTTTGCTCATGGAGGACTCACCAACACAATTGACGAAATGCGCCTATTTGCTAGTCGGATTGTTGTTTAAGCTGTTCTCAACTTGCAACTGAGTGTGGTCCACCACTTGTATGGTATTTGGAATAAAGGGAGACTCAGCTTATCAGATGATTCCGATGAAGGGCGAAACAGTTAGTGGGCTGTCGAGGATTTTCCACTGTACTTGTAAGTAGTGTATATCGAAGAAAGTCGACAAAAGCCTCATGTATAAACAAGGAAGTTGCAAATGACTTCCGGACTTTTAAAATCTACATCGCACCACTGTCATTCGATAACTCCTGTTCCAGCACAACGCTACTGGTTAATCCATACTGTCAGGACGCGCTCAGACATGGGAAGAGTACATGTGCAGAGAATCACGATCGGTACGACATGTTCGGAAGGCAGGTGCGTTGGCGGAGCTCACCAAACATGACTGAGCAACATACGATCAGCATAGTGGGCCTGAGGGTGTTCACGACCGGAACACCTCCATTGGCTGTGCAGAACGAACAAGTGAACGACCATATTTGGCCCTATAGCCATCCTATATATATTT